ATCGGTAGATGAATAATATTTTTCAATACTTTACCACCTTATGTTCTGAGGTCTCATGCCTAACCCAAACAAGAACACATGGGGCGTTTGTGGCAAATAATGTAGGTTCAATTTGCTATCCTCATGCTTGGTTCATCCCTTTGGACATGTCTCTGGCAAATAGCAGTTAATGTTCTCTCTTTTATCCATCTCGCGATTCCTTGAATTCAAATTAGTGGCTGGCTCAAAGAAATACTAATAATATCATAAAAAATTTAAAATTGAGTGTTCCTTTGTCAACGGCACCACCGCTCCAGCTTGCTGGTTCAGAGCCGGAGAGGTAATAGGCCTCGTATAACGCGCAAAATTGTCAAGCAAAAAAGAAACAATTTTAGAAATGCTTGCAAAGCTGGAACACATGCATTATTCCTACCATCAGTGGACGCTGAAATATATATAGATAAATACACACAACTCAATCGGGAATGCATCCAATCAAGAAGAAACACGGAGGAGTCCCAAATTCAACACCTGGCAGGCATTCGAGCCCCTTGAGTGGCTTGGAAGTTGATGGCTGCTAACGACTTGATCCAAGTGCCATACAGCCAATCTGTACACGCCCACCTTGACTTAAAGGAGCCGAAGAGCCACAGGCCCATGTGTAGTGCAGGTGATGTAGGTTGGTTGGTTGTTGCGCTCTCAAAGTCTTTGTTTTCATTTTTTTTTTCTCTTATAATTTATAACACTTGGTTAATGGTTGCACTTTAAGGAGCAAGGCTGATGTTATGTGTCCGGATAAGTTGTGGATAAAGGGTTTTCCCATTTTTCTCGTCTAATCTCAAAGTGGAAAACATGTTGATTGCACTCAGGAAAAGAAGGGAGCTCTGTTAATTCATTCGAATTTGGTTTAAGTCCACTGGGAAGTGCATGTGACATGCATTTGTTGTATGTTATTTATTTAGTAATCAGATATGAGTTTAACGTAATCCAGATATTTAGTTTGGGTTGTGTCAATTATTATCTAATGCTATGGGAATGACCATTAGTGCACTATCATAATAAGGCTAGGATCAAGAATGGATAGGAGTTCATAGTAGACTGGACCACTGTCTTTTTTTCTTTTTTTTTAAAAAAATAAAATTAATTTAACATTTAAATATTTAATTTATTAATTAATATATAATTTTTTATTTAAAAAATAAAATTTGAAATCTTTTTTTCTTAATTAAAAAAAAACTAATCCCAACTGTTAGAAAAATTGAAATTTAATCGACAAAGCACCTACTTAACAACAAAACTATTTGGTAAGATTGCTCGCCATATATAATTTTGAAGCTAAAAGGAAAAATTAACGCTTTTTTCTCTTCTTTTCTCTAAAGGGAAAATTGAAGTTTTCGCCAACTCAAAAGACAACATCAATCTCACCCACCTACATCCTGCATGTTATTTAGTGGAAAACGAAATTTTGTGAGGAACAAAACTATGTAGGTGCATGTGGGCCCTAATTTCGATTTCAAGTTCGTCTACAATCATGGGCGAAGCATCCCTTACATTAAGATCGTGGTCTTCTTAAAAATTTTAAAAAATTTTATATATTATATATATTTTTTTAATAAACTTTAAAATAAATTTTTATTAAATTATTGATGCAATATATTATATATATTTTTTATAGATCCTTAAAATAATTTTTATTAAATTATTATTATAAATAATAAATAATTTTATAAATTTATAAATTTATTTAACTTTACCTTAATTCTTAAATTTTTTCCTTTTAAGTTTCTTTACACCTCTTTCCATCTCTTTCTTTTTCTCTTTCTCTTCTCTTTTGTTTTTTCATCGTGAAATTACAAAAAGGTAAAATCTTTCTTATTTGTCTTTTTTTTTCTATTTATATTATTATTATTATTTGTTTTTTTTTTCAATTCTATTCTACTTTATCATATATTTTAAGTTTCTATAAATTTTCTTCTTCAAATTTTTACGAATCCTCTATTATATTCTTCTTCTTTTTTATTATATAATTCTATCTTCTAGTTACTATGTTTTTTTTATTTTTATTTTTGCTATATGATCTCAATGATTTAGTCTTTAAAAATTAAAAATTATTATGTAATTCTCAAATATGCATTGTAGCATTGCATTATTGATTGTTGTTTAAAATTAACATTGTATTATTGATTGTTGCTTAAAATTTCACCAATATATTATTTTTTTATTAATCTTGATTATATAAGATAATTTTTTATATGCTTTATGTACTATATTTAGTTGAAAAGAAATTATTTTTGCGTATTTAGTCTTTAAATTATATTGATTATATAAAAAAAATTATTAATTTTATATATCGTATTAATTATTTATATTTTATGCATTATGCTTCTTCATCTTTGAACTCCTTAATAAAAGTTAGCTAGCTTCGTCTCTCTCTACAATTATGAAAATGCATGTGGGTCCACCAGAGTTATTACAAGTAGTCTACACATTTTTCATGTCAACATTATAAAATATGTATATATATATATATATATACACACGTATGAAAATGAATATAATCTTAAAGTAAACTTTAAAGTTAGAACATTAAAAACAATATGAAATCTACATATCAAATGATAAACTTCGTCTTATCTTGACAATTTCTTTCATATGGACTGCCTTCAATCAAAATTTAAATACGAAAGCATACATTATGTAGGAGGATTATGAGCAGAGCATGCCTCAACTTGGAATTGGTGAGTCCAGCGCAGCCCAGGGATTGAAGTGGATTACCAGTAAAAACAATCCCAATTGAGACGAAAGGTATATTAGTATTTAGTATCAACCATTTTATTTAATCCACTTTAATCATGCCTAGAAGCTGGAATTAAAAGTGATTAAAGAAGAGAAAGGAACATGTCATTAAAGCTAATAATGTGTAGTTGGTAAGCCAATTAACGTGCCCTGATGGAAACAAAAGCTATAATCCGCCTGTCATCCAGCTGGTGTTTTTACTTGCCTTGAAGAGTTTCACACGCTCAGCATTGCCTATGGACTTTGATTTGTGTATGAGACAAGGACATGGAGCTCATCCCAACATTGCAATCCACCCTAGTCTAACCTTCAAGTCAAGTCATCTAAAATCTTATGGCAAAGCATGTAAAAGGAAAACCTTTAATTCCAATTATGCGTTTGCACTAATTGTTTCTCAAAATTCTCAAGAGGTTGCTCTCTAATCTTGTCTAACATTCAATTCAAGATCAAGTCATCAAGACTATTGAAGTGAATTTTTGCAAAGAAAAAAAAATGATAAAATTACTGTTTTATTAAAAAAATTTCAAAAATTGTACTTTACATTCTCAATAAATCAAATTTTTATTTGACTCCAGATTTTTTTCTCTCTTATTTTTAGGTATGAAATTTGTAAGTAGAAAGTAATTTTAATTTAATTTAGTTTTAATAGGTGAAAATGTAATATTAGAACCCCACGATCGTAACATCAGTTGGTAACTTGGTACGCATAAGTGGTAGAATGAAAATCGTCCGCCACCATTTAATGCCCCATTTTGTGCTTTTTTATAATTTGATGCCACGTGTCCCATAGATTTTTGTTTACTAACATCAGTATTGGTGCATTTAGTTGTTATTATTTCCGGTACGGTTAGATATTAACCTCAATTTTATTTGACATAATGTTCGTCTTTGCTCTTCCTATCATGCCCATCAACATTCTCATGCTCCTGTACGAATAAGCATCCATCAACATTCGCATACCCCTATAGCAATCAGCATTCATATCTGAGGTATAAAACTTTTAGGTATTCTTTTTTTTTTTTCCAGTCATTCTTGCCAGAGTCAAAATCCTCAGATAAATAAGAATACTTATGTTTGCTCTTCCTATGATGCCTATTAAAATCTGTTTTTTTCTTTAAAAATTATAGAATTTATTGAGTAATCGTAGAACTACATTACTCTTATCAATGAGTGATCAATCAGAGCATGGATTATGTTTAATCCCACGTATAAAAATCTTGTATCAATAATCCATCTTTAAGCTCAACTATACACTAAAAAATTTTGTCACAAATAGAATCTTACAACTCTAACCTGGCAGGCACACAAATAGACCGTAAGAGAAAGTAAGAACTCATGAAACATATATCTTGTTTCTAGTTCTTGCTTAATCTTATAAATTAACTGATGAATTAATCTGCTATAGTTACACTTGTTAGAGTCAACGTCTTTATATGAATAAGGACGCTTGTGTCTTCTCTTTCTCTAATGCCTATCACAATTTGACTATTAAAAGAGTTTGTTTTTCAATAATTTGGCCTCTTTTTCTTCTTCTTCTTCTTCTTTGTTATCTTGTCCTTTATTTTTTTGTTATCATCTTCAGAATATGCATGAAGAGCAAACACAAAAAACTGATGTAAAACGTTCCTGGACTTTGATCAAAGATTTGCGGAGACAAGTGTGAAAAAAAGGACGCTGTATAGTGTTGATGTTGACTAGGACTGAAGTTGTACCTAACGGCAGTACAAATGACCCAACAGCTGACGTTAGCAAATGAAAACTTATCATACACGTGGCATCAAATTATAAGAGGGGCACTAAACGGGCCACAAAACAGGGGCAGACGATTTGTGTTCTAAGCAGTAGGCCAAGTGGTGAAAAAAGCATTTTAGATGGTTAAGGAATGGCAAGAAGCTGGAAGTCAATAACAGTAAGAGAGTGATGGTGGACTTAGAGCGAGATACTTGTCTTAACTTAACCCATAAAAACGAAGTTGTAGACTGTAGCTGTAGCTGAAGCTGATTAAACCGGTGGCACATGATCGAAACTCTTTGGACCCCACATGGCTACTTTCCTGGCCAGCGAGGAATTCCCACTACTTCCTCTGCCCGTCCTAACATGCAAGTATCAAAATTATATAAAACAGTCCAAAGTCCCAAGTCAACAGTTTTCTCTCTCTTGCTTTCCAAGATGCAAAAGACTCCATCTTGCAGTATATATTTGTTATAGTAACCAAAGAATCATAATTGGAAAGGAAATTGTGAATACAGTGGGGGCATTTTCATCATCTCCATTAGCTCTTTTGTGGTCAAGAGAACATATCATACAATCCAAAAACAGAAAAGTTTGAAAAGTTCAAGAGACTCTTCTGTACCTCTCAGACCTCACCCATATTACTTTACAATAAAGCACACAAACTGGCTTAAACAGCTGCAAAAATAAGGGTAGGCTCAACTCATATACTCTGCTGAAATCCTGAAAAGGCTCACCGGAGAATGGACCGTTAAAAGGGTTTTGATAACAAGTGTCAACCACGTTCCTCGTTAAGCACAAGGCCCTATTAGTCCAAGCACAAAACCAAAAATCCTTAAAAACCCAGAAAGAGGTTTTTCTTTTTTTTTTTTTTTTAATTTTTACTTCCGTTCCGTGGGGTTCTCAGGGACAAAATTCTGCAAGAAATTGTGTCTAGCCACGTCGAATCCCCGTGAAGTAGTTGAAGTCATGGTGCTCGACCCTTAGTTGCTTTAGCCAAGAATCTGCCACGCTTAAAAGCGACACGACCCTTTCTTGGTCCCGTCCATAATTGCCCGACACCCACACATTTCCTTGCATCTTGTAAGTGGCCAAGCCGAATGGTGGAAGAGAGATGCCCTCTCCTTCCTTTCGCTTCCTTTCGGCACTCTCAATGTCATCATCAGGGTCCATATCTGCACGGAGAATAAACATCAGTAAAACAAACATATTTATACATATATATAACTTTTTACACAAAAATAGGCTTCTAACGTTCTTTTTCTTGCTTTTTTTTGGGAAAATGTCTTTGTTCTTTAATTTAACTAATAACAAAGAAATAGATTTTAACAACAGCTGCAAGAAATTGACTGAGAGTACCTTGGAAAGAAGACGATAGAGTGTGGTAAGTTAGGAAGCATGTGGACAAGTCCTTTATCGTCCTTCCCATGGGAATGTGATATATTGGGTACCTGATATTATGGACATCAAATAATCCTTTGTCAACAATCGGAAACTATTGTTGATAATAAGTTGAGCACGAAAACAATCACTGGACTAGATATCAAAATGGTATCAACTATATATGTGCAAAAATAGTCAAAGATAAGAGGCAGATTCTATCAAATTTGCTCTAATTTTGCATCAAATTTTGATCCTTGCGGTAATTTAACAAAAGCACAACTAGTGCTTTCTATCTCTCTTTTTTATTTTTTATATTTTTTGTCCTTTTCACTCTTTTATCCGATTATGAATTGCTTGTCGTGTGTGCATTCGTCTGTGAAACAGATGAAGAGAGATAGAAAGAGACCAAGCAACAGCCATCCAACTAGCGGGAGAAAGATCTACGCTCCTCAATGACATCAAACCAGGGTATCTTCGAGATAATCCATTAATCTGTAAAAAGAGAGAGAGAGAGGGAGTACAACAACGCGTCAATAGAATCTACATGCTTGAAGAAATAAATTCTAGCCTAAAATAAACGGTCACAATTATCAGTAATTTTAAAACCACAAAAGCTGAAAGGGTATCATCACTTATTCTTCTTTTGAACAACAGTAAAAGTTAAAAGATAATTTCAGATGGAAAAAGCAGCAACTTATGCTCATGGAGGATGATAAACTGATAACGCCCTTGTTGAATCTTAAAAATTTTAGACCAAACAACAAGAGACAAAGACAGAGAGAGAGGGAGATCATGGACAAAAAAAATATGCAGAGACATAAAAGCAAGGAATTTCATATTCAAAGGTCAAAAGTAGCATTTTATCTTTAGAAGATGCTTATATTCTGACAAATCCATAGCTGTTTTTACTTAGTCTAATCAGTTCCTTTGGTTTGTTAATCTTACACTTAGGAAAAAGCCTGAAGGCAGATATAATGAAAATCAAAGTGATGAACAACGCAATTAGTAAAAAAGATACAAGTAGGGTTAAAAACAAAAAGAACGAGGAGGAAGAAAAAGTACCTTATCCATGAGTGGAACTCTTCCATAAGGAGTTGATCTCTCGAAATACTGAAAGTAAAGGTCACCCAACCTGTTATTCACATTCCGAAGGCTGTCATGCTCCGACCCTCCATCCTCCGATGAGCATCCATCCCATCTACATAACTTGTCACTCTCGCCATCATCACTGCATGAATCACTAAAAGAATCCCTCTCACCATCACCTGATTCTGACTCTTCCCTGTAAAATTTCAAGCCCAAAATTTATCACATTTGCTTGAAATGAATTATTGACAAATCCCAGAATTATATCATTGCTCAACCTAAACTGCATAATCTCGATCACGGTATTAAACAACTCGATTGCATACTTCCAGAGGGGCGCAACTTGAAAGATTCAATGTTTCCCATGAATTTCATGTGATAAACTACACTTCAACTGCAGAAAAAATTTAAAAGGAATTTACCTCAAGTCGTTGACTGAAGAATTGCTGGTAAAGATTTGAATGGCAGAGAGATAAGGAACATAGTACTGGACTAAGGTTTCGCTATTGTTCAAAACAATAGGAACTCCGGCCCCGTACGCACTCCACTCATCGTAACAATTCCAAAGATCAACTAATGTGAAATATTCAACCTTTTCTCTGTCACAAGGGTGCCATAAACGATTAAGGTTCCTAATTTCACTCTGCAATATAAACAAAACCAATAATCACAGATGAAAACATAATCAAGAAAACGACAATTTTTTCTTTTTTCTTTCCGTTTACATTAAAAAAGAAACAAAGATTGCTAACCTTGGGACGGAATTGAGATTTGACTGTTGGTGTTGTGCAATGGAGAAAGCAATCAAGGTTTGATTGCGTTGACCCTGTGTCAAAAATCATGATTCCAAACAAGAGAGAGAGAGAGAGAGAGAGATTGGTTTCTCTCTACCTCAACCCTGATAACAGAGGAGAAGAAACAGAGAAAGGAGAAGGAAAAGGAGACGGGGAGAGACACACAGAGGAAGAGAGAGATTGTCGCGATTTGGTTAGATAATGCAAATTTGTGTCTGAAGAGAAATTCTAAATTTTGACGTTTGGACAGCTAAATTTAAGGAAACAAAAAAGGAGAGGAGAAAATAAAATAAATATCTCTCTATTCAACCAAGTCTTTGTTGGTAGTTGACAATGTTGTCTGATTCAACTCTTTTCCGGTCACCGGTGGATTTGGACTTACCGTTTCTCAGCCAAAACTAAGAATGAAAAACAACAAGCGAAAAAAAAAAAAGGAACTCCAGTTTTTTTCTTTTTTATTTTCTTGTTTCTTTTATACTTAAAGAAAACTCAAGCCTACTCTGCTTTGATCAACAATGAAGAAACAATTTAGCTCTAATCTTCGCAAAAAGTCACGACCATTCAACGTTTAATTCTTCAAGTTAAATCCAAAAACCCACTACGCAAAACCCGCCAAATCAAGTCGAGAACACCCTAACGTCACGCCTACCTAAAACGAAAAACAAAGGTAAGTCCGAGAAAACGAGAGAAAAAAAGGGAAAGTTTTTATGACAGAAGCCGGCAAAGTTTTCAAGGTTTCTTTGGTTTCAACAGAAACCCTTGATTTATGGGTAAAAGATTTGATGGTTTTGGGTCTTTTCGCTGGGATCGAGAGGATTTTCCTAACTGAAATTGAAAAGAGAAATCAACTTTTCCAGGAAAGAAAAGCAGAGCAAACACAAAAGAAAGAGTGATGAGAAAAACAGGGGGGAGGGGAGAGGCAATTACCAAATTTATCCACTTGGAACTGAGCTTTTGGTTTCTAGAAGGAACTAACAAAGAGAGAGAGAAATTAGATACCGGAGGCAATAATAATTAGGGCATCTGATTTTCAGATTTATGATAATTTATACGGACTCATCTGTCCCCCTCAATCTTAGCTCTCGAAAAAGTTTTTGTGCAAATTTTCTTTTAGTTTTTTAGGGTTTCCTAATCAGAGCACTAAGCCATTCTTAAAGATTTTTATATTAAATACGATTTCTCGTTGCTTGTATTTAATATGAGAATATTATTATAAATAGCATTTTGGTTAATTTTTAAAAATAGTTTAAATCACTTATTAACAAAACCTCTTTTTATTTTTAATTTTTTTTATTTTAAAGAGTCTTAGTCTTTGGCTATCATGACAAGAGGAATTGAACCTTGGCAAAAATCATTGAGATTAAAACTCTGTTACAATCTTTGACAGAAAAAAAGAAAAAGAGAATTTGAGATTTTTTTTAAGTATTCACACTTTTATTTCACTTGATATTTCCATCCACTCCTTAATCTTATTTTTTAAAAAAAAATCTAAAAATATATCTTATCATATCTTTTACTAGTAATTATTTTATCAGCGATAATTAAGTGTTAATTAATTAACCAACACATTCAACCCTTAACGCTTAAATGTAACATTCAATTAGAAAAAAAATCTACAATTTGCATGCCTCGTTAATGGCACTTTTAAACTTCCTGCTGATTTTTAGTGATTTTGCTAACTTCTTTTGAAGGCTCCCATGAATAACAGCATTGATGTCAGTAAGTTTTATGTTTAATGCTACATTGAATAAAACAAGTATTATCTCCACTCTTTTTCCCCAAATTTAAAATTTTCAGGGTGCAAATTGTGACTTGGATTTTGTATTATTGAATTCATTATTTTCATTAAATTAAAAAACAAAAAATATATCAAGAAATTTTATTAAAATTATTATTTTTTACCGGATGAAGTAAATATATCTCATAGTCTATTCTTTCTTTAAAATGATATGGACACCATACCGCTGATTTGTTTTCGCGTTACTTGCCAGGATAAAAGAAAGTGAAAGCTTTTTATTTACGGGCATTCGGCAAAACGCGTTAGCGTATTAGTAAAAGTAGTGTTAAAATATACATGGAAGAGTACGTGAGATATTTGAAAAGTGAAAACTCAAACCGTAGAAATATTCCATGATTTATCAGCTAAGCCACGCAATAAAAGGAATAGACACGTGGATTACCATTACGGCATGCCCACATGACAGCGAAAAGAGGAGCAAAATTGCGTAAAATTTCGTTTTTGGGGCCCACTTTGACTGCTCTTATTTCTTTTAGCTTGCTTGTTGCCGTGGATTGTAGACACGTTATTTTTTAAAATAAAATACTCTCATTCTTTAATGATAATTTCACACAAATAAATTAATTTTTAAAATTAACAGTTCATCTTAAAAATATAAAATATTGAAGTATTTTTTTTATTAATTTAAAAAATTATTATATATATTTTTAAAAAAAAAATTCAACTTCTAAGAAGAGCATCAATCATATTTCGTGATTTTTTAAATTAATAAATATTATATAATAATATTTAAAGTTAATAAAAAATAAAATTATTTTTTTAATATTATCATATTATCAAATTAATAAAAATATCAACAATTACCTAACGATTAAATTTATATGTTTAATGAAAGATATTTTTTTGGAATAGAGAGTTTATTTTAAAAATTAATAAATTTATTTAAAATTTTGATTAAAATTTCATAATAAAAATATTTTTTTGTCAGTTTTCTAGCATAAGATAGAAATGAAATACATTAGATTTTCTGATTGAATAGGAATTTATTATTTATTTATGTAATTTAAATTATATATATAAACATATTGAAAATTAAAAATACTATTTAAAAATTTAGGGGGAGTTTTTGTCTTTTATTTTTATAAGAAATAAAATATAAAGGGTCCGGGTCTTTTGTCTGGCAGTGTCCTGTGGTCTGGCCCTCGCATCAATCGGAAATTTTTTTGTTTGTCAGGGAAATGAGGTCTATGATATTTTCTTCTGTACACACTACATCCGTATTTGTTCAGTTGGGAATATAAAATAGAAAATGTGAAACACATGATTATTTCTCTATAAGAACTGATAAGGACAGCAATCTATGTGCTACCATCTTAAGTCAGATATTTGGACGATTTTTTCGTTTTTGACGAAATTACGGATATGGTTAAATTCAATTAATTTATATAATAATACTTTTAATAAAGAGACTCTTGCATCATTAGTCTTTCATCTTCTTTTGCTCTACTAGAATTTCTAGCGCCCACGACGTGGGTGAAATGAGGGAGGAAATAAGATAAGAAAGCCATTTTTGCTTTCTCGATATTAAGTGAAAAGTTAGTTTGTTTAGGATTGTTTAGGGTGATTAGTAATAGGTTAACAAATTTATAAATCATAAATTTATATTTTAATTTAAAAAATAAATTTGATAAGTGATGAAAGATTAATATTTATATTTCTAATATTTATACACATACACATAAATATATATCCTCTCATAAAATTTTATAATATTTATATATCTAAGATTCATTCCATCTTTTACTGCTCTTTACCTTCTATTCCATCTATATCTAAATTGGATGGATGGGTCAAATGAAATAGAACAAATTATTGAATCGCACGGAAATGACAGACATACTTTTTTCTTCAGTCTAGCCAAAATAGTACGCGAGTAAATATTGTGTTGCATTCGTCTCATCTACATCAATGGCAAAATACAAGCCCTTGGTCCCCCACCTCTTTCAGTAGTACATCATCGTCGTCGAATTGCAATGGATGTTAAAGTAAACAAGAAGTTTTCAAACTTGAAGCTTATCCACGGATTTCGTCCCGTTGCACCTGTCATTACCACAAAGCCTTCGAGCGGCCACGTCTCACAACTTCACCTCCCGGCAAGATATTATTCATTATATTTTTTATTTTTTATTAAAGAAAGGAAAATTTGAATCCAAATTAACTGTACTGTTAACATATTATTATTAAAGAAATAAATACTCTTCAATTCGTAGAAACCCGCTTCGAAGGTTTTTTAATTTATTTTCTTCTTTTTATATATGTAAATTAGTTATTACAGCATTTTCTATTGTTTTACTATTTTATCCTTTTTATAAAATAATAATACTATAAAAAAAATTTGAGTTTGGTTTAATTGTTATTTCTTGGTTTTTTTCTTCTTTTAAGGTTACTAAAAATTCAACAGAAGTGATAAAAAATTCATATTGAATTCCATATGAACAAACTATAATTAACACTATTTTATTCCATTAAAAGTAAAATATTTAATTTTTTTTATTCAATATTAATGATCATTTCATATTCAAATATCAAAAACACAACTTGCTTTTAATTCCAAAAGTGAAAATAACGATAAAAAAAATAAAAGCCTTGCTCTTTGTTTTCTTCGTCTGCAGATTTTTATTAAATTGAGTTTATGAGCATTTAAGTTACTAGTAATTGAATTTTTATGGTTACAAAATAAGAAAACAACCTGAGGAAGCTGCATCAAAAGTTTACGTGTCATTAGAGTTGCTTAATTCTTTTATATATAGCTATTTATTTTTCATTAGAAACTAAAACAACATTGTTTTTTGCCAATGACTGATTTGTTAGCACATTCGTAAATTGTGTTATTACTATTGTTTCCATACACTTTTTTAATAATATTTTAAATGAATATTTTAACCATTAGAATTGAAAATTAATTCAATTATCATCTACTAATTTTCACATGTATTAAAAAAATTAATAAATGTGAAGATAGTTAACATTTTGCATATAGAGCCAGCGAAGGGGCGATTTTTTTCTCTTCCCAAACCCAATCCAACTTTTTAATACTCAAACTGGAACCCGTCTCGTAGTCATCTTAGATTATCATTTTTAATTCTTGACTTCGATCTAAAACAAACATATAACTTTTATTTGACTCAACCCTAAATTTAGTTTAGTATAATTTCATGAAAATATTTATATTTTAATTATACATAAATATATTATATAATAAAATTAAGTATTAATATAATACACACATATGTATATAAGTATAAAATTTAAATAAATAAATGAAAATATATTTTTATACATAAATTTTTCTTCCTTTTAAATCGTGTACACCACATCATGCATCACTATATCATATGAGCCACTGTTTGTTAACATTTATTATATAATCTCTACTAATTTATTAAAATTTCTGGTCTCAAAACAAACCATACTTTATTCATTAAACTCTTCACGTTTTTAACGGTTACTTGTGTTGAGTAGCTGCGTTCTTTTGTCATTTGAATTTGTTTTATCTAGTAATCAAAAAGAAAAGTATACTATTTTAAAAAAATCTCAAATTATTTAACAATTTAAATAATTTTTTATTTTTATTATATTTAATTAAATATATATATATATTAAATCAAATAAAATTTTAAAATTAACAATCGATTAAGTATTGCTAATGAAAATGAAAAGATGAAGTTTGTATAATTTTTAAGCAGTATTAGTTGTAGTGAGATGATTTTGGAGTGCCTATATACCTATTTTGATCTTTAGATGCAACCAATGTTCGGACAGTCTTATGTTAATCTCTAGCCAAGGCAAGGGCAGCTGCTATGCCCCAAGTGTAGATTTCACATACTACTTAAATAGGAATAGTGCTTATATCATCGTTTATTATAATATATTAATATGTCATATTAATATTACGTGGTATAAAATGACTATTGACAATTTGATTAATGGTGATTTAGTCAATGATTAATTATTCAGTTTTTTTTTTCAAAATAAAAATATAAAAACTTGATTAAATATAATAAAAGAATAACAGTTTATTTGAATTCTTTTTTAAATAGTTAAGGGATTTTTTTAAGTATTATGTCAAAAAAATAATATAACTTTTTATGGTAATTTTGAGAAGAAATCCAAATCTTGGATGAAATGTTGGCAATTATATATTTAGTCAAGTTGTTAAGAAAAAAAGACTCTGGTTTAGATTCAGTAAAGAGTTTGGATTTTT